AAGTTTGACCTAAAGTCAAACTTGTTCAAAAAGTCAACAGTATAATCAAAGTCAACACTCAAAAAGTCATTCAACCGGTGGACACGTCGTGACCACCCTTTGGTTACGTCGTGGCATAATGGAGACAAAATAGTCACGTATCAGCCTTCTTCACGACGTGACGAATAGAGTGTCACGTCGTGAGAAACGCTCTGGGCAGTTTAATGCATTAAGCTCTTAATCCTTTTTCCCACACATCCATACTTTCCAGAAGGATTTCATACTCCTAAAAGATCATAAAAAATCGATACTTTATAGACATGCATGTCCAATGCGTGTCTTGAACTCAAGCTAGGTCAAAAAATGGTGTTAAATGGGGTCAAGATCTCATGCAAGAGTTCAATACTCTATCAAACTTCAAATCCATCACTTCTAACCACAAAGGAAATATGGGGATCCATAAAGTTGGCAACTTTATGGAACCCCGCCACTCCAACTAGCCAAAACATGAAGAAAACACATGAAAAATCTAGATCTAAGCACTTAGGACCATAAAAGCATGGAACTTTGAATACTCACAACGGTCCAGAGTGTGAGAAAAAATGATGGTGGAACTTACAAGCTGAGATGATGCACCAAAAACTCTTCCTCTTCTTCTTCTTGGTTAGAAATCACCAAAAGTGGAGCTCAAGGTTCAACTTATCGGAGATTAGGATTTTGGAGGTTGAAAGGAGGTGATGGAGGTTGAGGGTGAGCAAATCCTAGCCCTCACTTCCCTTAAATAAGGGGATTATCATCGAAATTAGGGTTTTGGCTCGAAACAGCTGTCACGTCGTGACCCTCATGTGGTCATGTCGTGACATTTAAGTGGAATGTGCGTTTCCTCGAACATGGTCACATCGTGACACATAAGTGCTCACGTCGTGACCAAGGTTTAAATCCTTAAAAAAACTTAATTGATAAATCTAAAGAAATGTTTACCTGGAACTTGGTGCTACAATGATATAACTTACCATACCTGTGGTCTGATGTTAAATATTTTTCATGTATTACAGGTTCAGGTAGTAGCCATTGTACGAGAGGATATAGGAGCACGAAAGACTTGGACTAGAAGTAGCTCTTATTTTAGTTTTTCCTTGTTGCTTTAGATTATGGTATGATTCGTTGTAAACCCGATTATAGCATGTGATGTAAAATGTTTATGAAGTTTAGATTTCTGCATTTTTATAGAAAACATTGATATACCCCTAAAATATTAGTTGAGAAAAGTTGGGTCGTTATGAAACCCCTCGTATATCTCCTAAATTAAGACCTTAGATTAAGGGGGACATAAAATACTTATGTACCCTAGTTTGACTATGCTTATTATACATGTAAATTTCTTTGTTATGATAATCCACATATTTCCCCAACTTGAAGACATCGTGATCACATCCCAAAGCTAACAGAGCAGAGTCCATATCAACTTTAAGAATTCGAAAATTCTAATAATTTGTTTCAACTTTAACGCATCTTAATTCATGGATCATTGCATCAAGTTCATAGACTGAAAACACATCTATGTCCACATAGTCGATGTAATATACTTTTGCATCCACATAACGGCATCTTTGATGCTTGGTAAAAACCGTAATGATGAACTTTAAGTGTAAGCAAATTAGATAAACTTCCTATAAAATCATAACAGGGTTTTTTAAGCAAAACTTAAAAAAATTTTAAAAAACGAGTGCAATTCAAGCTCGTGCTTATCTTACGCCTTCTTTAAGTCTTCGGTCACATTCTTTACCCTAACGTAGCACAATGTCAACACCATTGATTGATTCTAGCTTGTATGATCAAAACCTCAACTCTGAAGACCCTTTTCTTGAAAGGGTTTAGGTCATTTTAGGTCACTTAACTTTTGGTTTTGTGTTAATTTGATCACTAATTGGTTTGGTCACTTAACTTTTAGATTTGTGCTTATTTAGTCACCTAACTTTTAAAATTGTACTCATTTAGTCACTAAACTTTTGAAAAAATTTAAAAGTTTAGTGACTAAATGAGCACAATTTTAAAAGTTGGGTGATTAAATGTGACCAAACCAAAAGTTAAGTGAGTAAATGAGCACAAAGCAAAAAGTTTGATGACCTTTTAAAACTTAAAAAGAGTTAAGTTAAGTGACGAAAATGAGCAAAAAACCAAAAGTTAAGTGACTAAAAATGACCTAAACCCTTCTTGAAACAAAGTAACTTAAGGAAGAAACTTTGGGAACGTGTAATGAAGACAAAAGGATAGATCAACATAAATATGACTAGATGGTGGGGGCAAGATGGAATGACAAAATTGCCCCTCATGCGATGCGCATATGGGTCGATTGACGTCTAAAAGTGGATTCCGTTGGCCAAAAGAATTAGGCGGGAAACTTTTTGAAACAACAAAACACATAAAAGTTTTAATAGTTGTCCTTACTATGACTGTTTTGGGAAACCATAAGGACCAATTACAAGCATTTCCTCATGGATCAAAAACAAGAAAAAGCCTAATAGGTATAACACTTCACCTGTACAATAAATGTAACTTTCGAATTCATTTGACATGGTTAAATAAAAAAAAACATTGTTTTAGTTATTGTTAAACAACGGACTTGTATGTTTGTTAGGCTAGAAGGAGTGGTAACACTCCTAGCATATTGCCACATCATTTTTTTGCCTGCCACATCATCTTTTTGTCTTAACACCTAAATCTTGGCATTTTGTAGGGAGTGGTAACACTTCTAACACTCCATTTTTTTCTTTTTCAAATTTAATTAAATTATATATTTTTTTTTAAAATACAAACAATTAATATTAAAAACTAAAAACTTTCAAGAATAAGGAAATTAAAACCATGAACTGGGGTGGAAAGATCTTGGGGAAATCAAAGGCTCATTGACATTACAGATCTAAAGAATCACTTGCAAATAGGAGTGGCAATTGATGACACGTCACGACAAAAATACACGACACGAAACGAAATTGAGACGAAACTGAAATTCGAATTCGTGTTCGTGTCGTGTTCGTGTCAAGTGTAAAAAACACGACGTCGTGTTGTGTCGTGTTCGTGTTCAAAAATTGACACGAAATTGACGCGATTTAACATTTTTTGTCGTGTTTTTCGTGTTTGTCGTGTTATGTATGAATAAATATTAATTAAATACATTAATTGTTATGTCAAGTTATCTTTGTCGTGTCGTATCGTGTTTGTCGTTTTTTAATCGGTTCGTTTCCGTGTTAGTTGAAAAAAACCCGAGTTTGTGTCGTGTCGTGTTCGTGTTACATAAAACTTTGTCGTGTCATGTCGTGTCAGACAAAAACACGACACGATGGCCCGATTTGCCACCCCTACTTGCAAACATAACGAAATCTTCTAATAAATTACATTATATTAATAATAATTTCAGATCTACACAACGAATTCTTATAATAAATTACATTATATTATAATACTTTCAGATTAAAAAAAAAAAAAAGAACGAAGAAGAAAGAAAACCCTTACTTGGTTTCCTGACATGAAGATCATCAAATCACCCATAAATATCGCATCTTCACACAATCAAACCAAAACCCACTTCCTCGATTCGAATATAACCCATATAACCCCCAAAAAGAAGGATTAAAAAGAAGAAAACGTTGATTCAAGAAACATTCAAACTTCAAACTTGTTAAATCAAAATTGGGATTCCACCGGTCAAATGAGTTCCACCAATGAGGTTCCACCAACCCTTTCTCTCTTATTTCGCCAAAATCCTAGCGAGAACTTGGTAGCGAGCCCCCTAACGAGCGCTAGGGGGCGGTGTTTCTCAGCCCTTAGCGAGCGTAGCGACCGATCCTAACACCTCCACTCCGTTCAGCCTTATAAGATATGAGTTGTAAGTTTACACGCAGACCAAAGACCACTATGTTGTGCGAGAAATTGGTTCACACATTCTCTAATTCATTTCTCATCTATATGCATATGAAGTGATTGATGTAAGCATGGAAGACATATGAGCTGACGTCAGAAGTTGAGGAAGATGATTTCTTAACGTTTAGAAAAATAATAAATACCATTTGCTAAAAAATGAAACTTTAACTAAAACTAGATGAAATCTCCAATGATTATCCTTTTTTGTTTCAGTTACATACCAAACAATGTAATTGTTATGACTATTGTTTTCGTTGTATACATGTCATTGTAATTGTTAGGAATGTCAACAGACCATTAAAATATATGCAACAAAAAGAAAATTAATATATGGAATCATTTTTTCATAAATAATTCAGTGTATTTATTTTTGTACAAAAAGAAAATTGCTAGAATAATTTTTATTTTTATATTTTAACAAATATACTAAAAATATCAATATCATTGTTACCTAAACCTATTAAATACCTCATTTGGATGCAATTTAAATTGATCGAGACAATTTCTGCTATTTTTGTATCTATACCAGAATAATTTATGAAATTGTGATAAATAAAACCTTGTCTGTTCTCGATATTTTTTTTCTCCATATGTTGACGAATTAATAAAATAATAAACATTAATTAAAATAAACCGAATAATGACCGCCCGGTGTGTTCTATGAATGATACCGTAGAAATCGACTGGTCTATTTGTGCTCATCTACCCCACAACACTCTAACTACACGCGCATAATTAGGCGCGTGATTCACCAAAAGGTATTCAAATTTTCACCTAAGGGACACGCGTCTCATTTGCTGACAAAGAACCACTTACCTACTTTATTTTAAAAAAAAAAAGACCTCATACGTGTCCTCTTTATCGGAAGTGCTTCAAGAAATGATACGCTACTTTTAGGTGGGACCCATCTAATCTTAATCAACCAATAACCTTTCTTTGATGTTCTTAATCTTATTGCATTGCCCTAGACACGTGTCCCATTCTCCGGCGACCAGTTTTCTATCTCACATTCTCACTAAACCATGATGATTTTCATCGCCTCCGTTTATTTCCGGTTAGGTTTAGAGAGAGAGAAAGAGATAATAAGGAGAGAAGTAGGTATGGGAGGTGGAAATAGGCGTGGTGAGACTGGAAGCGCCGGCGGAGATCCGAAGAGCAAGATGATAATTAATCAGATCATGTTGAGATACCGGCCGATAGCGCCGAGGCCGGTAACGGTGGAGAGGTCAGTCGGAGTGTTTCCGTTGAAGGAAAAGAGACCAAAGCGGAAGTACGTTCGAGTGAAGAAGAAGATGGCGAGAAAGTGTAAACTGACGGTGGTAGATGATGGTAAACGATGGCGGAGTTTGGATGAGACGATGGCGATGCTGGAGGTTTCAAACGGAGGTAAGTTTGTTGTAACAGATCCGGTGGGGAAAGTCCCGGAGTTTATTAGTTTCGATGTGTCTGGACATAACAGGAGTGATATTATCGGTAGTTTGATAACGCCGGGTCCGCCGTCGGTAGTTCTGCATGAAGTAGATCTGGCGATGACGGTGAAGCGAGGAGCGGTGATTGAGTCGTGGATCACGATGGAATCTGTTACAGGAATGTGTGAAGATGGGAGATGGTTACGTTGTATGGACGATGAGATAATGAAAGATCTGGAGATTGATAGCTGTCCGAGTTTCATATCCAACAGTTACAATGAGGTCCAGTGGGTGAATCGAGCGTACCGGAGGATGGTGGATCCAAATCCTGACGGTGGAGCACCGCCGTGTGAGGTGTTGGTGCGGCTATGTGCAAAAGCGGCGGTAGTAAAATACTGGCCAGCTTTTTCATGCAGAGTGAGATTGGTGTATAAGTTATCGGAGAAAAAGAAGCAGATCACTGTGCCTTGCGACGTCTGGAAGATGGATTCCGGTGGCTATGCATGGAGATTGGATGTCGAAGCTGCTTTGAGCTTGGGGAGGTTGAATTAATTGATGAAGATCGATTTTTTCAAACAGGTAAGTTGATTATGTTGAAGAAATTTCACATATGATTATGTATATAAGTGTGTTCATAACTTCATATAAGATATATGCATATTTACCTAAAGCATAAGTAATTAAGTACTTGATTAGGATACATATTACTACTATTTTATGTTTAATCATAGGATTGTGGCTGCTTATATCAAGTCTATAGCAAGCCAAAGATGACTTGTAAGATTTACATATAATAGTGTTAATGATCTTCAAAGAGGAGATTTGGTACTGTTATTGTAAAGATTTGATGTGTTTCCAATGATATAAAAATCATACCCTTTGATGCACAAGAAGTAACTGGTTTGTGGTGTCTTGATTTGCTTGTTGAATTATGAGTACTGGGTGTCAATTAATTTAGCCGAGCTCCACTTTAACTTTTCCCCTTTCGGGGTCTGCGAATGACATGTAGCTGTTGAAAGAGAGAAACAGTGTTATTGGCGGTTTTATATGGTGTCCCATAGTGACACCGACAATCTCTAACTTTCGTATATGCAGTGTAAAAAAATTTTAATATTTTTTTTCTACTATCATGTCTACTTAAATTTCATGTGACACCTTGTGACATTTTTACAATGAAATCTTGTGTCCGTCCCTGATCGATGTGTGCCAACTGTCTTCTTCTAGCACCACCTTAGCTTCTTCTTATCACCCTTGCCATGTTTTTGGGGCTCCCAATCTCATATATAGCCTAAAGTGACTTGGGTTTGAATATAGTTATTTTATAAGCTCATACCTCTTTACAATGAATAGAGGTAAGTAGATTATAAATTAGACCAAAAATAGAAAATAAAACATGCGAGTTGGGATAAACAAAAGCTGGTGTACAAAAGGAATCTAATTTAATTACTAAAAGTGGATATAGTACAGTCTTATTTGAATAACCAAGAGTAGAAATGATACATAGCTTTCTACATCAATAACTATTCTTTATTCCTGTTTTATATTATATACTAGTTTATAACCTGTGAGAACCACGGTTATAAAATTAATTAAATTTTTATAGTAAAAACTCAAAAATTTTAATTAATTATTTTAAATAAATTATTAATTAAGAGATTTTTTTAGTTATATATATTTTAATCATTGATTTAAATAAATATGTGAAATTATATCATTTTATAATTTGTATTAATTTTATTTTAATTTTTATTCTAATTTATTAATTTAATGTAATTAGAGTGAGAAATTTAAAATTTGTAATTTGAAATAGAGTTGACAAATTGTATGCATTAATTAGGAGACATAATAATATTACACATGGAAAAAGGAGAATAAAATATATATTAATTAGGATGCCTAATAGAATGACACATATCAAAAATGTCAAAGAATAAAAGTATTCTTTTATTAAAATATAGATTTTTTTCTTATTATAGAACTGGATACTAATATCTACTTTGTGCAGGGTCTCTATTGGGCAACTTAATTTTTAATTGTGAGCGTAATTTTGGGGTGGCACGTTTCCACATAGAAATAGACAAGATGAATGAATGGGACCATTACCTACTTACATTTTAGTCGTAAAATAAATGCTTTGTTTTCACAGGTAAGAATAATGATATTTAATGAGTGTGCTCCAATCTACAGTGGTTATGCAAACCCAAAACCAGCTATATGCAAACCCTAAACCAGCTAACATTCTATTCTTTCTATTATCAAGAGATAAGGGTTAATTATACGATACACGATATGGGTATTAAGTATTTTAAGATTTTAGTGTTTTATCACATAGAACAAAGCAATCTTTTTTAATATTTAATTGAGATGATACACACTAGGAATAATAAAATATTATGAGTTGATTAGGGTAGCTCTCTAGAAACATCTTCTTCTTTACCACGCATAAAATAACAGAGACCAACACTTTAAGGTGTTCTCATACAAGTGAAAGGGCAACGCATATATATCCTCGAGAAGAACGAAAGTTTGTCCCGTTCATATGGAGAATATTTGTAACCTAATTACTAAAGATGTTTGATAACATGCGTGGTTTATACAAGAACAGGGTTCTAACACATTCTTGTGTGAGAAATACATGTTTGATTAATTTCCATCTATGACATATATATTTGTAAGAGATCAATCATCTCATTTTCCACAAAAACAGAAAACTTATTCGATTTATAAAAAGAGAAAATCCAGAATTTGTAACTATAATGGTTAAGTTCCACAAGCATCTTTACGTCCTCATCTTAAAAGTTCACTTCATTTTTAATCTTTATTTGACAAATTAAAATTAAATGTGAGACTCCTATATTACACATTATTAAATAAAAGGTATAAACATTAAACATGTTTTAAAGTAATATTTTCATATAAAAATAAACGATATAATGAGTAATTAAATAATTCAAATCTATAATAATAAAAAAATATTCACATACTTTAAATAATGATGTTGGAAATTAAGGTATAAACGCTAAACATTGTTTAAAGTGAGTTTCGAAATAGTAATTTCGCTATGCCTTAGCTTGAATATTTTTATGTTAGTGGTGTAATCTAAGCAAGTATGTTTGTCATAAATAAATAACGGCCACGGACGGTGATTTGAAATAGTGATTATTCTATGTATTAATAGTTTGAATATTTTTGTGAAATGCATTCGTTTGAATACTTTTCTTGGGCAACATCCTATCTAAATAGAGTGAATGTTTTTTTACCGCCACCATTATATCACAAAAATTGCAATTTCAAATTGCAGCCACGACCATTATTTTATTTGTAACTTTGATACTACCTTAATTAGATTACACCACTAATAAAAAATTTAATGCTTTCTTACTAGATTATGATATAACACTTAATAATGTAATGAATATCTTTAACTAATTTTGATAATACTACATTTATATGGTGTTGGTATTACATCTATATAATTTGATTTAATAATATATAAATAAAAGCATAATTAACATAAAACACAAAAAGTTAATGTAAAAATAAAACCAATGAAGATTTAAGGGTGGTAAGTGGTCACACTGTCACATAGGTGTGACATGTGTTTTTACCATAATAGTGTGGTTTGTTGACACACACAAGATTTAAGGGAGGATCAACTCGACGAGTTGGACGGGGTTTGGGAAACCCCAAATCCAGGATTTTGCACCCTATTTAAACAACTTAAGCCATAGGGTTTAGCCTCATCTCCAGCCTCCACTGTCCAAAACCCTAATCTCGAAACCCTAAGCCATTTTTGGTGATTGTGAGCTAATCTTATGCATTCTTGGTGGGTTTGAAGAAGAAGAAGCTTGAAGGAAGAGCAAGAACGTGTGGGAGGAGAGTAGATCCAGAAGTTGGGCTTCATTTCTGGTCCATCTGAAGTATAAAGCTTCAACCTTGTCTATGGCATGCTTAGATCTAGTTTTAGGATGTTTTGCTTCATGTTTTGGTCTAAATATATTGATGGTTAGGATTTGGACGTCCCACATTGGCAAACCCTTCAGATCTAAGGACTTGAGGGGACTTCACGGCATAAACATGCCAACTTTATGACCATGGAAGTCCCATGCAACCTTTAGACCATCATTTTGGTCTTTTCAGCCCTATTAGGTCATGCATGCGAGTAAAGATGGGAGCTTTACGTGACCAAACTGTCCCTTGAGTCCAGATCTATGACCTCATGGTCTATCTTGAAGTTTTGATGGCTTTTCGAGTTGGATCTAAGCCCTTTTGGGTTAGCGTTTGAGTTTTATGTGTTGGGGAGAGGTCCTTAATGGGTTCCAACTTTACCCTTCTATACGTATTTCCAGCTTGGATCTACAAGATAGGGCCTTGATTTGAGGATAGGGACTTAATACATTAAGAAGGTTGACGGACTGAAGAACTCGACGAGTTCATAAGAGAACTCGACGAGTTGTTCTGGAAGTGTCCCGACTCTGTTAGAAAAAGAGGAACTCGACAAGTTGTAGGAAAAACTCGACGAGATAGATCGTGATATCACGATTATGTGATTTATGGAAATTCGATGAGTTGAAGGGTAACTCGGTGAGTTGAGTCAACTCAGAATGTTGACTTTGACCAGGGTGTTGACTTTGACTTTGACTTTGACCTTGACTTGGACCAAAGTTGACCCTTAAGGGGTTATGAGTATGAAAGGGTAGTTAAGGAAATATTCTATGTGTAGGGGTTTGAGTTGGGTTGATATCCAGAGCTGGGGATAGTTCAGCTACTTCCAGTTTCGAGGTGAGTTACCTTCCCGATATGAGTGGGTCGAAGGCACCAATGTTGGCCTACTAGTAGTTGTTACAATGGAGATGATTGTCTTTGTGATAATTGTCTAATATGCCACTATCTGTTGAGATTTATATGCTTGTATGCTATGTTATTACGTGGTAGTGGTAGGGGTGAAATAGTCCTCGTGACCGGTCGAAATGACCGAAGGGGTAGGCCAGCACCCAGATATGCTAGGTAGTATGTGATTTATGTGTATATGCTAGGATATTATGTGGTAGTGGTAGGGGTGAAATAGTCCCCATAACCGGTTGAAACAGACCGAAGGGGTAGGCCATAACCCATATATGCTAGGCAGTTACCGGTTGAAAGAGACCGAAGGGCTAGGCTAGCACCCTGATATGCTAGGCAGTACTAGTTGAAAGAGACTGAAGGTGTAGGCCAGCACCCGGATATACTAGGCATTATGTTTATTGTAGGGTATGTGGTATGATGGGGGGGGGAACTCACTAAGCTTTGTGCTTACAGTTTTCAGTTTTGGTTTCAGGTACTTCTTCTTCGAAAGGAAAGGAGCCGGCATGATCGCAGCGCATCACACCATGTTTTCCGCACATGAGATCTTTGGGAGTTAAACTCTGATGTTGTTTTATTATGACATGTTTTGATTATTGACATATTGGTTTTGATATGGGATGACACTATGGATGTTTTCAGACTATTGGTTTTATAATTACTTAATTTAAAAATGAAATTTCTGGTCTTAAATTTTGGGATGTTACAAG